GGGTGGGAAGGGAGGGATAACAGGGGGGAAAGAAGAAAGGGGGGCATTACGATTAGCATGTATGATGTGGGAAGAATGGGGAGTGCTGTGCAACACAGAGAAGACGAGTAGTGAGCCTACAGCATCTTACTACACTAATGGACAGTGACTGTAATGGTGTTTGTGGGGGTACTTGGTGATTGGGGGAGTTTTGTAAACATAATGTTCTGCATGTAGTTGAAGATTAATGATAACAAATATATATAGTTAATGGAAAATTATAGACCAAAAATATTTTAATGTAAACAAGTGTCACATCTTACAAGTGTAAGAAAAACCAACCCAGAAGAAAAGCACACCAGGTGTTAAAATCCATGGTCAGTAAGATGAATTGATGATGTACTGGTAAGAAAATACTTTCCCTAAAAAACTTGAATTCCAACCATCTGCAGGAGCTTGTGTAACCAGAGTTTTGTACCTAATATTGCAAACTGGTGCATGGTCATGAGGATTTTTACAAGATTACTCAATTAGAGTGTCTTCAGTAAACTAATTTTGCCTATTTTTGGTATGTGAAAATTAAACTTCATTAACTTAGTAATAATAATAATGAGTACTTAGTCATGCAGCAAATTAAAATTCCCGAATTACAACTCACTGAACTGCAAGCAGTGCTATAGTTCAATTATTGTTTTCCTCAGGTGAAGAAGTGGGAGGAAGGTGAAGCTGTGGATATTTTGAAATATATAATATGCTTCCTTGAATAGAGAAAAGGTGAAAAAATAGTAGTAGGTATGGAAATCTGATTGGTTTATCCTGTGACATATCTCACCTACAGACCAGTCTTTAAGGAGAGAAAGAAAAAAGACCAACAAACCCTGACTTAAATAAAAAATAATTTGACCTTCTCCTATAATACAAATACCCAACAATAAAGAATAAACTCATATTATTAAGAATAAGGAGCAAATACAAACCAAATGACTTTATCAAAGGAATGTTTATTCTTTGTGTTACCATTATTATAGTCTAACATTACCAGGATTCTATGAAGGAATCTATAAAAATTTAAAATTTTGGTTCCTCTCAGCTTTAGTATTCATTAGCCTTAATAGCATACGAAAGTCAAAAACAGAGTCTATAAATGAAGTAAAATGAAGTAAATCCGTTCAGCAAGTAATCTCCTTAGGACAGATACTTTTAAAGACCCACCTACATTACATCTGTGGTCTACAAGTTATTTCTGACCCAGGAGAGTTACCATTCCAGTAAATGAGAAACTGGTGGAAAACAGTGTAGGAGCAAGTATAAGTTTTCAAATAAGATATAGGTTAAAAAAAAGCTCATAAGCTAATGTCTGTGTCATGGTAGGGAATTAAAAAGATATCTATCTAGATGCCTAGAAGCCAAACATTTGCTATGGATTTACTGCAAAAATTCAAAAATTTGGATCTCATTATATATCACGCAAGATTAAGTTCATATCCCAATGAGAAATATTTCAAAAGAATTTGACAAAATATACAGGAAATGAAGATCACCTTGACTGCCATTCTGTAACACTTATATTTCCTTACAGAATTTATACAAAAACATTAAGTGTTTCTATCATTCCTTTGACATGCGTAACTGGTTTTGGGATGATACACCTCACTCTGACCTGGTGGTCCTTTTCCCATCTGGGACTGCTGTGGCATTCAGATTCCACACTGGATGCGAAGGTGTGGGACTGACTACTGGCACTTGATGTGGCCAGCCTTTTCCTAGACTGGAGGAGATTCGAAGTTAGACATTTCACAGGCATCCTGGGGTTGCACGCAACTGCTTCAAGACCTATAGGGAAGAGAAAATACTGAAGCTTATGTTAACTCTTCATAATTAAGCTCCTTAATTCTTTACTGAACCTGAGTCTTTATAGATAACTAGGAAAGTATTAAGTATGCATATCACAACTATTTCTATGTGAACATTATTCAACCCACAAGGATGGCTTTAGGTGTTTTGGGCATATAAGTTCTGTCCTAATGTTAAAAAAAAAAAAAAAAAAACTCTCCATGTTCATTAAGTAGAAATAAGGACAAGGGAACCAATTAATTAGGAGGAAATCCATTTTGAATATTTATTATGTAACTTAAAACTTCTTGATAAAGGAAATTATCTCACTCATTTGTGAGGAACCAAGGAAAGTGAAGGAACAAAATAGCAGCAGACTCACAGACCCCAAGAAGGGACTAGCAGTTACCAAAGGGAAAGGGGTGGGGGGAGAGAGGGAGAAGGGGATTAAGGGATATTATGATTAGCACACATAATGTAGCGGGGTCACGGGGAAGGCAGTACAGCACAGAGAAGACAAGTAGTGGCTCTATAGCATCTCACTATGCTGATGGACAGTGATGGCAATGGGGTGTGGGGGAAACTGGTAATATGGGTGAATGTAGTAACCACAATGTTGCTCATGTGAAACCTTTGTAAGACTGTATATCAATGATATCTTAAGTAAAACTCAAAAAAAAAAAAACTTCTTCATAAAGAAGCATTATTGACATGCTACATAGAGCTGAGATAAAAGGTTGGAATGTGACCAAATTTACTTAGTTTAATTTGTATTTAAAACTACAGCTTTACAGCTTTATTTTAATGGTGAGGGTTACGTGCTTACAGGTGTGAATTACACACACTTATAAGGGAATTTTAAAACAAGTAATAGTAAACAAGTAACAGTAATTGGCTAAGGGCAAGCCAGTGCAACAAGATAGCGCCATCTACATGACACGTTATCATAGAAATAATGGTGCTAAAAACAATTGCTCCGGAACTTAATAATTAGACATAATACGCAATCATGCTTTTACTGAAGATCATACTATGTGCATGTAAAGATTTTATAAACACATAAAAAGATATGTATATCATTTTTCTTTCCCACAAAGTGTGAACATAACTTTATCCCAAGTAAGTTCTTTGTCTTATCATTTAATTTATATAATTAAAAGTTTTTTTAATGTTTTAATTTAATAAATCTTGGAACTTTAACATTGAAAGAAGAATGTCAAAGTCCATCTAAAACAACTGTGTTTTTGGAGCATAAATCCTCTCAGTGGAATTTCTGAAACTAACAGGACATTGACCGTGATATTTAAACAGCTCAGGTGGTTTTTCCCAGTAATACGGGAACTTGTTTCTAAGTTAATGCCATGTGCACACTATATATTTGCTAGTAAGTTTTTTCGGGATCACTGGTATGATTGGACCATCCCTACTTTGGAACTCCGATGGCTCTCCTTTTCTACAGCTCACATTCTATGCTCCCTGTGACAACACTTGATCTTTCCCTAGCTACCCACTAAGCTTCCTTTTCCATTGCACCTGCTACCACTTCTCACATAACACATCGAGTCTCTGTTGTCTGAAGATGGAATATAATTCCATGTGTCCATGCCTTTCTCATGCCTCTATCTGAAATGCCCTTTTGCAGTATGCTTAGAGCTATTAAGCTCTGTGTTTCTCTTCGTAGGTCTAGTGTGGCTATTGCCTTAATTTAGAGCCATTCCTGATTTTTCCAGTTAGCATTTATTACTTTCTGTGCTTTATCACAATATGCCTCTTGCGGCATTTACTTTACAAGATTGTGACTGTTGTCTCTTTATACCTGTAATCACCACAAAATTACACATTCTTCTGAGGCGAAGACCTCTCATTCACCTTCATAGCCACTCAAGGGAGCAGCATCATTCCTCACACCTTCCTGCTCTGACTAGATTGAAAAATAACTAAGGGAGATACAATTCTTTCTCCTTAAGAGTAAGGCTTAAATAACATCTCCATGTTTTATATTTTAGCAGTTTTCTGTGCATCAAAGATACATATTGTTTTCAGCCATTTTTATTTTCACAGAAGAAACAAGATTGACTGAATTTGGAAGAAAGGGTCAGTAGATGGAAAATTGTATTTGTAATCAGGACTTGGCTTACCCACTTACTAGCATGTAACTAAATATTTTCAAATATTAGCTTCTCATTTCTAAGAGGAGACAACAACATATAATATATATCCTAGATATGTACAGATTTTAGGACCAAATTCAAAGGAGGTAATACCTATGAAAACAACTAATACTAATTACTCTTCAGAGCATCATTATTCACATCCCCAAGATGAAGAACATGAGTGCAGAGAATTAAAATGTGCCCTGTTGCTAAGTTATAAAGGGTGAAGATAAGTGCTATGCAAAATGCCCCAATATCCTCCTCTACTATTTGACTTTTGACTTTTATTGTGTGCTGATTTAAAAAAGTATAGCTTTACTTCAACTATTTCAAAATGTTTTGGAAATAATTTGAATAATGACACAGTGTTAGTTCTACATCCTCTTTTGTAACCCAGTATAGTGAAATTTACCCAGTGGTCATTCTAATATTATAGTAAATTGAAGAATATCTCATTAACTAGACATTTTATTCTGTTGACACAAAAATCTGCAATGGTTCCTGTCAGAAATGGCATTTACATGGTGAAATATAGAATGCCACAGCATGGTTAAATATTTGCATTTTGAAGTTACTCAATTGATATTAGAAATTTAAAAATCCAAAACCATTTTGTTCCTCAAGACACACTTAATGGAATGAATTACCATTTATCTATCTTTCTATCTATCTATCTATCTATCTATCTATCTATCTATCTATCTATCTATCTATCTATCTACCTACCTACCTACCTACCTACCTACCTACCTATCTATCTACCTATCTATTTGTTTAAGTGTCTTAAGTATCAATGATATACAATATTATGATGGTTTCACGTACACAAAAGTGGTTCAACATTCGCCCATATTATCAAGCCTCACGCCCTCCATTGCAGTCACTGTCTATCAGTATAGAGAAGTTATAGAGTCATTAGTTGCCTTCTCCATGCTGTACTACTGTCCTAGTGACCTACCTATGTTGTGAATAATAAGACCCCTTAATTACCTTCTCCCTCCCCTCCCACCCTTCCCAATCTTGGTAACCACAGTCCCTTCTCAGTGTTTATAAGTCTACTGCTTTTTTGTTCCTTCTGTTTTACTTTGTTTTTACACTCCATTATACTCACATGATTTTAGTAGTTTGTTAGAATAAGGAGTAGTGTCCTTTGGATCTACAGACATAGCACAAATTAGTTCTTGAGAAAGCTGTGATGTTTCAGAGCCGTGAGTTGAAAGAGCATTTGCAGAGTCTTGATTTTTTCCTGCAGCTGGTGTGAACTGTTATAAAGACAAAAACAAATGCTAAGATCTATTTTATAAAACACCACATAAGTAGGTAATCTGTTAAAGTAACTTAACATGCTTGTTATTTAAAAAAAGAAAAAGGATTTTTAATTATGAATGGCAATCATGAAAGGGCATATTATGTGGTTTTTCTTATCAAGTACTTACAAATCCCAAAGAGCTGATGAGAGACAGTATCTGTCCTGGGGTTCTTGAATAATCTTGTCTAGGTTTAGCCATTGATGGTGTAGTAAGGATGTCCATTATATTGATATCTATATATGGGAAGCAAAGTATATGAAATTCTTTAAAAGTGTCAACTGCCATTTTGATTTAAGTCAGTAATCATCTGTTCTGAACTTTGCCCCTCTTTCTACAGTATTAACTCATCTACAGAATTGGTTTGTGCAAAATAAATGTACCAGGGAAGCCACCATGCCATAGAGTAAACATATGCAATTGAACAGAGAAAATTAAATACTGTATTATCTCTTTTATGTAAGGAGTCTAAAAAAACAAAAGAAAACAAAACCAATCTCACAGAAAATGAAATGATGGTTACCAAAGATGGGGAGTGGGTGGGAAAAATGGGTGAAGGGGACTGAAGAGTAAAACAATCTTTTAAATTAAAAATAATTTAAAAGATAAACATTTCTCTATTAAAAAACTTCATTACTCTGATAAAACAGTCTTGTTCTGGAATGAAGAGAATACAGTGTATTGACCCAAAGTGTTAGCTTTTTACCATGTACTTAGTTACTAAAGAGTGTTATCTAACTGGAAAAAAAATAATTCCTGGTAAATCAAATATTAGAAAAGAAGGTGGTAAAAACAAAAGCTAAGAAAGGGATCAAGATATTAGGAATATAAGTTAAATTTGAACATCAGAATCTATTTAAGGAATTAATACAAATTATGGGCCCCTCATTTTAACTAACATTAAGTATAGGTCAAGATAAAATTGATGCAGATTTTTATCAGGCTTCAGTGCATAACACTGTAAAGTAATTCAACATTCACACATAGTATCATACTATATTCTTGAGATTTCAACAAAGGTAAGAGAAGTGTAATATTCTGTATTTGGCCTAAGACTTTAAAAGGTACACTGAAAGTCTGAACTTAACAAATTTCATTTCTACCTCACATTGATGAAATAATGATGAACAGGTAACAATAAACATCTTAAAGAATGCTTTTCAATTAAGTGTTAAGAAGTATTAGGACAATGATATATGGAATATGATTCCAAAAGCACAGGCAAAAACCAAAAATAGAAAAATTGACTTCAAGCTTAAAAACATTTGCACATCAAAAGAAACAATCAACAGAATGAAAAGACAACTTACAGACTGTGAGAAAATATTTGCAAGTCATTTATCTGATGAGCTTAATATACAGAATACATAAAGAAGTACAACTCAGTAACAACAAAACATTAATAATCTAATTAAAAAGTAGACAAAGGACTTGAATAGACACTTCTGCAAAGAAGATATACAAATGTCCAACATGCTTATGAAAAAATGCTCAACATCAGTGATCAATAAAAAAAATTCCAATCAAAATTTCAGTGAAATATACTTCACACCCATTAGAATTGCCATTATCAAAAAAGAATATAAATGTTGGCAGGTTGTGGAGAAACTGGAACTCTTGTGTGTTGCTGGTAGGTATATGAAGTAGAGCAGCCCCATGAAAAACACAAAGGAAGTTCTTCAAAAGCTTTAAAATAGAATTACTATACAGTTCAGCAATTCCACACTGGGTATATCCCTGAAAGAAATGAAGGCAAGGTCTCTGAGAGACATTTACACATTCATGTTCACTGCTGCACTATTTGCAAGAGTCAAGAGGTAGAAGGTACCCACAAGTCTACTGACAGGTGAATGGATAAAGAAAATGTTTGGCCTTAAAAAAGAAGGAAATCCTGGCTCATGGCACAAGATGGATGAACCTTGAGGACATCATGCTAAGTAATATAAAGTCATGCACAAGAAGATCTGTACTGCATGATTCTACTTTCATAAGGTAATCAAAGTCACAGATTCGGAAAATGGACTGTAGTTGCCAGCACTGGGGTAGTGGAAAATGGGGAAGAGACTTTAGTTTTACAAAACAAGAAAGTTCTAGAGATCTGTTGCACAGAAATGTGAATATAGTTAACATTACTTTACTGTATACCTATAATGGTTAAAATGGCAAATTTTGTTATGAGCTTTTTTTAACACAATCAAAAGAGGAACAAAAGAAGCCAAGTTCAGAAAGGTCTATATTTTGTTCAAAATGATTGTAACTTTAATGTACAACGTTTGGGAGCCATCTTTAAATCATGAGATATGAAAGGAAAAAAAGAAACTTACAATAAAAAAAGAATTTAAAATCATCAATAAATCCCCCTAATACACAATTTTCCTCATTTAAGCTTTATTTAAATAAATAAATAAATAAATAAATATATTTTATTTTGGTATAATTAGTTTACAATTACATGAGGAACATTATGTTTACTAGACTCCCCCCTACATCAAGTCTACTGCAGAAACCCCATTTCAATCACTGTCCATCAGTATAGTAAGATGATGTAGAATCACTACTTGTCTTCCAGTGTTGCACAGCCCTCCCCGTACATCCCCACATTATACATGCTAATAATAATGCCCCTTTTCTCCCCCCACCGACCATACTTCCCTTCCCAAACATCCACCCCAGTCCCTTTCACTTTGGTAACTATTAGTCCATTCTTGGGTTCTGTGATTCTGCTGCTGTTTCGTTCCTTCAGTTTTTTCATTGTCCTTATACTCCACAGATGAGTGAAATCATTTGGTATTTGTCTTTCTCTGCCTGACTTATTCCACTGAGCATAATACCCTCTAGCTCCATCCATGTTGTTGCAAATGGTAGGATTTGTTTTCTTCTTATGGCTGAATAATATTTCCTTGTGTATACGTACCACATCTTCTTTATCCATTCATCTACTGATGGACACTTAGGTTACTTACATTTCCTGGCTATTGTAAATAGTGCTCTGATAAACATAGGGGTGCATCTGTCTTTTTCAACTGGGCTGCTGCATTCTTAGGGTAAATTCCTACAAATGGAATCCCTGGGTCAAATGGGATTTCTATTTTGAGCTTTTTGAGGAACCTCCATACTGCTTTCCACAATGGTTGAGCTAATTTACTTTCCCACCAGCAGTATAAGAGGGTTCCCCATTCTCCGCAACCTTGCCAACATTTGTTGTTTGTTTTTTAGATGGTAGTGATCCTTACTGGTGTGAGGTGATATTTCATTGTGGTTTTAATTTGCATTTCTCTGATGACTAGCGATGTGGAGCATCTTTTCATGTCTGTTGGCCATCTGAATTTCTTCTTTGGAGAACTGTCTGTTTAGCTCCTCTGCCCATTTTTTAAATTGGATTATTTGCTTTTCGTTTGTTGAGATGCATGACCTCTTTATATATTTTGGATGTCAACCCTTTATTGGATCTGTCATTTATGAATATATTCTCCTGTCCTGTAGGATGCCGTTTTGTTCTATTGGCAGTGTCCTTTGCTGTACAGAGGATT